TCTCTGTGTATTGGGGTGGCACACACACACGTGTGTGTAAGTAAGGTCTTTCTATGTAACCTAACATGGTCTCCAGCCACAGAGAACTGGTCTCTAGCGTCAGAGAACTGGGTATGTGCCACTACATCTGGTTGGAGGAGCTGACTTGTTTTTTGAGGGGGGGGGATGGTTTTTGGATAATTCTGCACATTAAGTTTGACCACTTCTTGCAGTTTCTTGAGGGTTGATTGTGATGTGGGTTCTCAAACCTTAGTGATGAGCTTTTTGTTCTGATTGTCCAGTCCGTCTTTCCCTTGGAGAGAACCTTCTACCTGTGTGTAATTTTTGAAACTCAACCTTTGAAAACCATGGCTTCCCTGAGTTGTTCAGACCTTTGCATGGTGTCACATCCATTCAACAGAAGGAAACTGAGTCACACTGCTCTACTGTTCTTAGAAATGGTGAAAGCTGGAAACTGTCGCTCTTGCAAGAGAGGACAAGGGTTTTCTTAAGTTCTTCTTTGTGTTTGAAACTTTCCTTTTCAAAGAAATCGGTCAGCAATCGGTCTTTCTTGAAGTAGCTGCTCACTGTTCATTTTGGAGAAAACGTCTGTCCCCAGACACATCTCTCCAGACGATCGTGGATCCAGTTTAGGTGAGGTGCCCAGCCGCTGACAAATGCCTCCTAACCCCCAACATGGTGCCTCCTTGGTCCTCTCCTCCCATTCTCCAGCTAGAACCTGAAACGGGGGATCATGCTTTCCCCCAAGTTCAGTACCTAAAATACAATTCCAGCTCCCTCCCCAGGCTGTCTTCACACTCTGGCTGTCATAGCTTCAAATGTCTGCACCTCCTTCTTGCTGAGCTGGCCCCAGGATTCTATTTCCCATTAGGGGGGGACAGAGGGGTCTGGAGGAGGGGTGACCCATAGCTTCCCTGGATGGTGCAGACAGGCAAGAGTGGAAGTGAAGGAGTCTAGGCCTTCCCGCTGGCTCCTGGAGCCCTGTGACTGTTCCCAGCCAGGTGCCTATGGGAATGGCTTTATCTGAACTATGCTATAGAGCAATACCGGCATTGCTCCAAGTTTCTGGTCACTGCTTGCCCTCTTTTTCTTGGTTTTCAGTGTCAACAAGTCTTGAGGGTCCCTCCTTTCAGACAACTCTCGCTTGTGTTAATCTGACATACAACTAGCCAGCACAATTAACTCAAGCACAACTTGACAAACACAACGGCGTTAAAAGCCATATCCTTTTCTTCCTTGTACTTCCCCAAGAACACACACTAATATCAACATTACAATATAAACAATCCAAATTGTAAAAGTTTCCATGCTCTTAAGAAATTTAAACACTAGAAAATAAAACTCAGTCTCTTTGAAATAGCCAATCTCTTTCAAGATCCAATCTTTTAAAAGTCTCTCTCAACCAGGGATGCCTGTAAAACCGAAAATACGTCCTTACTTCCAAAAGGAAGAACCAGGACACAGTCACAATCTGAACAAAGTAAAACCAACTCCAAAAAGTAACTCAATGTCCAGTTATTTAGGATTCACTCGTGATCTCCTGGGCTCCTCTGTGGGGCTGAGCCCCTTCTCCAGCTCTGCCCTCTGCAGCACACACAGTTTGTCTTCCAGGCTCTGGCTCCACTGCTGCGGGCACCCTTGGTGTTCGTCCCATGGTACTGGCATCCCCAAAACTGTGCTGCAGCTGGGTTGCACTTTCCCCAATAGCCTCCCCTGGGCTCTCCTCATGGCTCCCCACCCCTGCATAAGCCCTTCAATCCTGGGCCTTCAACTGCCACTGAGGCTGTACCTTCCCCAATGGCTTCTCCTGGCCTCTCACAGTGCCAAACCTCAGCTGCTCTCCGTGACCCCTTCATGCCTTCAACACTAGAACCACCTGGGCAGCTCTTACACTACCAAGTTCATCTGCCGGGACAAGGTAAAACCTTGGCTGCCTCTACAGACAGCTTCTGTGTGCCGCCTCTCAGGAAACGTACACCTCACTTCTCACCAGAAGACTTCACCTCACGGATGCTGGTTTCTTCTTAGAACCACTGCTAACGCGCCAGTTCCAGCTGACTGACGTCAAGCACTCCAGCAAAACAAAGGTCCATTCTAGCAGTTCAGGCATTGTGTCCATCACAGCTGATTCTTGAGCCCCAGCAAACCAGAACGATGAGGTCTTAATTGACAATAACTAGGGCCCGCCCCCAGGGTGTTTAAACGTCCATCTGAAACCTCCATCCTTTGCGTTCCCCTCAACATCCTCATCTACCAAGCTCCTACAAAGCAGCCCACCGAGCTCTCAAGATTCAATGGCTTTTTTAACCCAGCGTTCCAACGCCCTTCCACAATCCTCCCCCAAACATGGTCAGGTCTGTCACATCAATGCACTCCTAGTACCAACTTGTCTTAGTTAGGGTTACTATTGTGGTGATGAAATACCATGACCAAAGAAACTTGGTGAGGAAAGAGGTCATTTGGTTTACACTTCCATGACCCTGTCCATCCTCGAAGGAAGTCAGGACTGGAACTCAAGCAGGTCAGGAACCTGAAGGTAGGAGCTGATGCAGGGATCTTGGAGGGATGCTGCTTACTGGCCTGCTCCCCATGGCTTTCTTAGCCTGCTTTCTTATAAAATCCAGGACCACCAGCCCAGGGGTAGCATCACCCACAGTGGCCTGGGCCTTTCCCCATCAATCAATCATTAATTAAGAAAATGCCCTACAGCCAGATCTTAGGAAGGCATTTTCTCAATTAAGATTCTTTCCTTTCAGATAACTCAAGTATGTGTCAAGTTGACCTAAAACTATCCAGTACGAGTAGCTAGTCACTCCTGTTTCGAAATGGTGGGTTATAGTGTCTGAAGTGGTGGGTGGTGCCAAGCCTTTCAACACTGTGTCTCTTCTCGTGAGTCCGTATCCAAGACACAGTTGGGCTTATAGAGTAAGTACAGTATGAGACTAACAGCACAGCTAAAAATAGAACAGAATGGCTATAAAAAATATCACGAGAACTATAAAAATTAAATACGAAAAAAATCAGCAATCAGTAAGTGGGCTAAGAAACTCAATAGAGAGCTCTCGGAAGAACTATGAATACAGTCGATACTTGGAAAAGGTGATCACCATCCTTGGGCATCAGAGGGATGCAAATGAAAAACTGTTTTGCAATCCTATCTCACCCCAGTCAGAACGGCCACCATTGAGAAAACCACCGACAACAAGCGCTGGCAGGGACGTGGAAAAAGAGCAGCCTTATTCTCTGCTGCCATAAATATAGACTAGCTCCAGCCACTGTGGAAGACAATATGGAGGTTCTTAGAAATAGAACTCAGCTATGCCAGGCCTGGGCATATGTCCAAAGTGTTCTAAGTCAGCACACCACAGAAGCACTTACACATCTGTGTTTATTGCTGCAGTATTTGGAATACCCAGAAAATGGAACCGGTCTAGACGACCATCAACAGATGAATCAGTAAAGAAAATGTGGTGTATGTATACAGAGAAATTTTACATGGCCATGCAGAAAACTGTAATCATGTCATTTGCAGGAAAAGGGATGAAACCATAAATCTTTATGTGAAATGAAGTAAGTCAGACTCAAAAAGACAAGTGTTAATATTTTATGCATCTATTCATGTTTACATCCGTGTGTTTATAGGTCACAAAACCAGACAGAGGACCATTCAAGGGGAGGAAGAAATCCATATTTTATTTATTTGTTTGTAGTTTTTGTTTTGTTTTTGTTTTTTGAGACAAAGTCTCTCTCTGTAGCCCTGGCTGTCCTGGAACCCTATGTAGACCAGGCTGGCCTCAAACTCACAAAGATCTGCCTGCCTCTACCTCCCAAGTGCTGGAATTAAAGGTGCGCACCACTATACCAGCCCAACTGGAGGAAGGAGGTGGGAAATAGAGAAGGTAATGGATTCTATGTAAAAGGCAAGTTTAAGTAGAAACTAACTGGGAGAGGAAAAGGAACCAGCTTGGGGGTGGGGTGGGGAGGGAGATAGTTGAGAACAAAGTATAATGACACATGTGTGAGAAGGCCCAATGCTTTGTAGTCTAAATAAAAATGTATAAAACAATACAATATTTAAAATCATTCTCTCTCTCTCTCTCTCTCTCTCTCTCTCTCTCTCTCTCTCTCTCTCTTTCCTATACACACCCTTCTTTTTCTTTTGGCCATGAAAGTAAATCAGTGCCACTTCAAGCCAGGTGTACCCTCCCAGCACCCCTCAACCCTCCCATGCTGGGGTGTCCCCACAGAAATGGAAGACTTGAGAGTCCTCAGGAGACAGTGGTCCCAGAGCCTTGCTAATTTTTCTCACTCAGAACAAATTACCGTTATCCTATCTAAAACTAAAAATGTTGTGCTTGGCAGGTATTCTGTGACACTCAGGACAAAATGGGTGCATTCATTAGGATCTGGGGTGCATTTCCCAGGCAGTTGCAGCTGGTTCCACTTGGCAGACTCGCCAGGAAGCGGTGTTATTTTAAACCAGATGGTCTCGAAGAACAGGTTTCTCCTGGGACTTCCCGGTGTCAGGGTGATTCCTGTCTGGAGACACTCCAAGCCAAACACCTAGGTCAGGTTCTGTAAGAGCAATCCTGGGCCTTGACTTGGTATGTGCTGGAAGACATCCCAAACCACCTGCTGAGGAAATGTCACCAGGCCTTACCTCAGGATTCTCTGACCCACAAGAGAAGGCACAGGGCACAATCGTAAATGCCACAGCAACGCTAAAGGGCAGTGCCATTCTGTGACCATCATAAGTTTCGACTCTAGCCTACCAAAATTGGATATGATTAAACCTGACCTGTTTGTCCCCTCCAGGAAGAGGGCAAACTGGTATTCTGCAGATGGCCAAGATGCCCGAGAGTGCCTTCCATCAGTTTGGGCCACGCTTCTGCACATGGAAGTGCCGCAGGCGCGGGGCACATATTCACACTGCCTGCACTCACCCACCTCACGTAGACAGGAGCCATCTGATGTTTTTCTTGGTCCTACATTCTTCCCAGGGGACTGAAGGGCAAGATACAAAAGGAGAGCTCGAAGAGGGAGCTGCTGTCTGACACAGCCCATCTGAATGAGACCCATTGTGCCCGCTGCCTGCAGCCCTACCGGCTCCTCGTGAACAGCAGAAGGCAGTGTCTAGAGTGCGGCCTCTTTGTCTGCAAACACTGCAGTCACGCCCACCCAGAAGAGCAGGGCTGGCTCTGCGACCCCTGCCACTTGGCCAGGTGAGCCCCAGAGGAAGAACATCCCTAATGGCTTCTAAGCCTGCTGTGTCCCTTTGGTGGGGCTGGCTGAGGAAGACACTGCCTCAGACCTGCGCTCATCTCCCCGCAGAGTAGTGAAGATTGGCTCCCTGGAGTGGTACTACCAGCACCTGAGAGCAAGGTTCAAGCACTTCGGGAGTGCCAAAGTCATCCGGTCTCTCTGCGGGCGGCTGCAGGGTGGCGGTAAGGGCAGGACTCGGCCTGGGGATGTTCCAGACATCCTTTAATGTTGAAGAACTGTTCCAGTGTGGTTGGTTGGCTTCTGTGTGACACAGATCTCTGGAGCCCTCAGTCGTGTCCAGCCCCCTGAGATTTCCAGTTTGCTATAAACATCCCCAATATTTGAAGTCAGTGGGTTTTTTTTTTTTTAATTTTACACTATGTTGAGGATTCGTAGCCAGGGAGTCAGTCACTTAGAAGTTGACCCAGAGATTCCCTTTAGCCATCTAGAAAGTTGTGGGAATTAACACTTCCTTGTCTGCGATAATCTGCCACTCTAAAAACTGTCTCGATGAAGGCCAGGAGGTGGCGCTGTGGGACCAAAAAAACCACATAGAGACACTTCCTCACAAGCCGCTTGGTCCCAAAGCTTTATTCTCCCATGCTGGGCTCCTGTAAACAGAGCAAGTCAAGACACAGTGGAAGGAAGGAGCTGGCACTTACACTATTCTATTCTTTAAATATATTTATTAAAATTAATCGTGTGTGTGTGTGTGTGTGTGTGTGTGTGTCTGTGTGTCTGTGTGTGCGTGCGTGTGTGTGATGTACATGTAAGTGCAGGTCTATGGATGTTAGAGAAGTTCATGAAAGCACCTGGACCTAGAGTAACAGGTGCTTGTGGACAGTGTGGGTGTCGGGAACTGAACCCAGATCCTCTGCATAAACAGTCTGTGCTTTTGGCCGCTAAGCCATCACATCGACCTCCTAGAGGGGACTTTCTTAAAAGAAAATAAAAACAACCAAAAGAGCAAAGTTACTGTTCTGAGAGCTGACTCAGCCTGGGCATGAATGGTGTCATTGCGGACCCTCTGAGCAAGGCCTGTTTCCAGGCAGGGCTTCATGGGCCTTCATGGGGGAAAGGAATGGGCTCTCGCCTGTTGCTAGGCACCCAGCATCCCCTCCTTACCAAAGCCCTATGTTTGCATGCGGGTTTTCCTGGCAGACAACAGGATTTACTTGTGTCACTAGTGGGGCCTCAGCTGTCTTCCTTTTTAATTTTTTGTTCTCCCAGGCAAGTGAGGTCAGGGTGTCCCTGGTCTGTGGCAGGAATGTGGGAAACCCTTCAGACTTGTTTAGTATGTTTGATCAGATAGGTGTAGCTCAGACCTGTGTCCTCAGCGTAGAGAGAAGTCAGAAGTCTTATCTGGAAGGATCCTGAAGGCTGGGGAAAGGTTCGTAGTTTTTGATGTCACCCCAGGCAGTCAGCCGTTGCCTCCACAGCCTGCAAGCCTGCTTCTGCTGACACCGACCCCTCCCATTCTGCCACCCTACAAAAGTGGTTCTATCCATCTTGTTCCCTAAGGTTCAGGTTCACCCTGAGCAGGCATGGCTGGTAGAGAGAAGGAGAAAAATCCACCTGAGAGCCTCCCAGGCCCACAACCCGGGAGCCCAAAAGTACAAGGCAGGAAGAGGGTCCCCTGTGTCCCTCCAGCACTTTCCCAGGTGGCTGTTCATAGGCAGCAGAGCCACAGGCAGGATAAGGGATGAAAGTGGGGTAAACTGACCAATAACACTGTGAACTAGGTCGCATCCTGAGGAACCAGAGCCATCTGAGGCCTGGCTCACCTTAGAACAGTATCCTGCTGTGGAAATGAAGAAGACAGTATGCAGGGTTTCTAGATGGATGGATGGATGGATGGATGGATGGATGGATGGATGGATCAGAGGGTAGATATAAGGAAAGTTAAGGAAGAAGGGCAGGTATATGGTAGTACCCAGGCACTTGGCTGGGTAGATGGATAGGTGGATACATTAATAGAAGAAAGAAGAATGGGAGGGAGGAATAGAAGGAGGAAGGAGGTCTTAGTTACTTTTCTATTGCTGTGAAGAATTTATTTGGGGATTATGATTTCAGAGGGTTAGGGTCTATGACCATATCATGGTGGAAATCATGACAGCAGGCAGGTGGCAGGTTTGTCACTAGAGCAACAGGAGAGAACTCACATCTTGAGACACAACCACGAGGCAGAGAAAGGGTAGCTAGGAATGGTATCAGTCTTTTGAAACCTCAAAGCTCACTCTCAGTGACACACCTCCTCCATCAAGGCCACACCTCCTAATCCTTCCCAAACAGTTCCACCCACTGGGGAAAAGTGTTCAACTATATGAGCTTATGGGGGCCATTGCCATTCAAAGCACCACAGATGGGCAGGTGGGTGTGGAAGAATGACTGGATGGATCGAGAGACAGTTAAGTGGTCTCCCCGTCTAGCCCTCCGAGGGTGGAGCCATGCACCTGTATATTGCAGGTGGATCTGAGCCAAGCTTGGGGGAAGGGAGTGGAGACAGTGAGCAGACGGATGAGGACGGAGACCTGGATGCGGAGGTCCAGGCCCAGCCCCTCAACACCAAAGTAAGTCCTCCCAGGCACTGCCTCTCTCCCCAAAGGCCATGCCTCTGCTTCCCATCCCTATGCCTCTCAGCTCCCTTACACTTCCTCCTAAGGAGCCCATACCTCAGGCTCCTGCGTTTCTCCCTACCCCCATCTCATACCCACCTGGGAACCTCTGCACCCTCAGTGGCTCCACATCCCTAGCATGGGACTCCCTCCCTCCCTTCTTAAGCCCCTCCTTCCTGAGCTCCTCTCTTCTTAAGCCCCTCCCTCCTGAGCCCCTCCCTTCCTATACCTTTCCCTCCTGAGCCCTTCCCTCCTGGGGCCCTCCCTCCTAAGCATGGGAACCCAGTGTTCACTTCGGAGCTCCAAAACTCCAAGGTACAGATGGACAAATCCCACTGCCGGGCCTAGCCTGACTGGAGTTCTGGGACACCCAGGTGCCGTGACAAAGAGTGTACAGGACAGACCTGTGTCCAGATAGCTCAAGGGACCTGCATGGGAGTGGCCCTCGCACCTTCCAGATCAGGAACTTGTCTTTAGAAGTGGTTGTTTCTCTTCTCGTTCATCTTTTAAATCACTTTTGGTGGTGAAGACAGGTCAGGTGGTGCCTTGGTTTGGGGACAGGATGGCAGTGGTGAGTCAGAGGGAGAAGGACATGGGCTGGAGAGTGTGAGTTTGGCCTTGAACCCTTCGAAGGTGACAACAGCACGGCAGAATCAGATCATCAGATCTGAGAAAAGCTCCGGAGACGCTCAGTCATCTTTTGCACAAGATCTGATTCACACACCGTTTGCTGACCTCACAGAATACAACCCAGCCAGGGTCTAGAGCATTCTACAGTGAAACATGCATTTAAAGGGTCAGAGTAATTGTACTGAGGGGCGGTAGCAGTTGTAAAGAAATGCTCAGAGAGATAGATAGATAGATACATAGATACATAGATGCATGCATAGATAGATACATAGATACATAGATAGATGAAGATAGATAGATAGATAGATAGATAGACACATACATACATACATACATAGACACATACATACATACATACATAGATAAATACATAGATAGATACATAGATACATAGATAGATGAAGATAGATCGAAGATAGATAGATAGATAGATAGATAGATAGATAGATAGATAGATAGATAGATAGATAGAAGATAGATACATAGATAAACAGACAGACAGACAGATAGAGTGGTCACCTTCCTCCACCTATAGTCAATGAGCTACATATACCTGAAGTCCCAGGATGCCTTCGGTGTGGGGTACCTTCAGCACTGCCACAGCCCCGACCCTAGGAGCACCTGGCAGGCCAAGAACTCACTTTCCTTACAGCACAACTAGAACCCTGGGTACAGTGTCGCTTCTGATGGGACAGATACTATGGGCTCCTGGGCCACCTTCGACCTCAGGGCTGCTTTGGGGCTCAGTTTCTAGTCTAAGGTGGGTGTCCTCGGGGGAGGCTGCTGACTGTCTGGAGGCTGAGTAGGGGCTGGGTTTTGACCAGTCTTGCTTATCTTACCTCGAGAAGAAAAAGCGCCTGCTCTCCTTCAGTGACTTGGACTTTGAGGAAGACTCAGAACACTCCATGCAGCCTTGCAGCCATACCCTGGGCCTGTCCTCTGTCCCTGAGTCAGAACACAGCCTGCAGGTCAGTGTACTCTGGTATCTGCCCACGCACCCCCACTCCTTTTAGGAACCAGAGCTGAGGGGTAGGTGCTTGGGCCTTAGTTTGGATTGTACCTGGGGACACAGTGTCCTATAGTCAGTTGTTCTCATCAGACTCTCGAGAGGGAGATAATTGGAGATGGGATGTGGAAGAACAGGATTCAGAAACTTCACATCTCCCAAGGCCAGCATCTCAGGACACTGAGTAAACACTTGGAGAGGTTGGGGCAGGCAGGAACTAAGGTCAGGTGGGTGAGTCGGGGGCCTGGGATGTGAGGATTGGTGCTCGGCCTAGAATAAAGACTTGGGAGGGCAGAATGGACAATGGCGTCTGCTAAGGAGCCAGACAGGACCCTGCACTGTGCTGCACCTGTGCCTAGTCAGGACATCATGCATTCCATTGTCAGACGAGGCTGGTCTTGAGAGTAAAGACATGCTATCACCGCACCAGCTCATTAGCCATATGACCTTGGTCCTTGGAAAGTCTTTGCTGCCTTATCTGCTCATTTCGGAAGAAGGCTGATAACCTCTACCTTTCGGGGTTGGTTTTGAGAGGAGAGTCCATGCCTGGCATGCACGAGACGTGCAGATAGGCAGTAAAAAGAGTTGTGAGGACAAGGGGTAGCACAAGGCCAGGCAGGTCCGGTTTTGTTGTGAACCCTCCAGCAGCTCCTGGGCTCGGGCAGTGAGGGACTGAG